ATAACCACCCCGCCCCGAGAAGTAGGGTTGATGGACAAAATCCTGCATGACCTTATAGACCTAAACTATAGGGTTTATGGTACTCTACTATACTTGGGTCATGCAGAATTTTGTCCATCAGCAGTATGACCCCGGAGCCATGAAATAGCAATTCGAGACTGTTCATCAGGGCCTTATAGGGCTTGGTGCAATATCTGAATGTTGTGAGATTGCGTTTTTCTCGCGGTAATGCGGACATTTTGGGTGGGGCGGTGTTGACGCAAAATCCATGCGAGCGTCTCCCCCGAAAAAATCCGGAGATTAAGCTTTCGAGACGTTAGCGCATGCACACGTGCATCTTAGGCTTCGTCAGTTTCTACAGCTCCTGCATTCTCTTGCCATCACTCAGGAATGCGACTGCCAAAGTCACTGCTGCCGGGGACGTGGAAGTCACGTTATGGCCATACAGGTGCTTCGGCAAGTCGGCAAGCACGGCGTTAGCAAGTCTGGTGAAATGAGGTGGTGGAGGCATTTCCTTTCAGCTGCCTTCGAGGGATGTTTGGTTGACGTCCTCCTAACCCGGGATCTCATGTCTAGATGACTTCCTAGGCCCCCCGACATCGACCGTCTGACACTGCACATTGCTCCGCTACTGGCTGACTCGAAGTTCGACACTTCGTGGGAGCAGGCACCACTAGCGCAGATTTCGAACGAAAGCATCCGAATCTGGGACCTGCTTAGTTTCCCAACTTTGAGGTCCAGGAATTCAGGATTCAGGGCTTAGCTTTTGGGGTGACGAAAGATCATGAGTTCATCAGCATCAGGCAGCAGCGTTTCAGAGCTGGGAAAGCCGTTTTGTTTTGGGAAGGGCACCAAGTGGGAGTTTCCGAAAGTAGGGGACCCTACTATAGTACCCTGAATAATAGGATCCTTATTATAGGGACCCCCAAATAAGGTACCCTAATTTTCGGAAACTCCCAAGTGGTCATGCTGTATAAGACACTTCAGGCTTTGCCAAGTGCGAGCTGAGCCCTTTTTTGGAGGCCCGGGTGGATGTCAAGCTGATGCACTCAGTCTCGGAAGCCTGAGTTTCACAAAAAGTGCTTGCATCGCGGCAGCAGGGCCGTGTTTCAAAAGCCTCTTCTCCGATTAGGCAGTGCTGCAGAATCATGCCAAGACAGAAGCATATTTCAAAGCAGATGGCTAGCGGCTAGTCTTGCAGAGATGTCAAGAAGTCGTTAGCGACAAGACTCTGACATGGGTGGTTGTCAAAATTATGGTCCCTTGTTGGGTCCTTATTATAATACGGCACATATTATTTAGGGTACCCCAATAGGGGCCATCATTTTGACAACTACCCACATGTCCTTCGGAGACTGCGCGTTGCAGGCTCGATTTCAGCTCTGCGGCAGAGCAAAGCATGGCTGGACTGCGTCACTGGGTTAGGGTTTAGGGCTTAGGGTTTAGGGTTAAGGGTTTTGGGGTTTAGGGTTTAGGTTTTAAGCAACTTCTTGCGAGATATGGGTATACGCCACAAATGCGGGTTTTCCATCTTCACCTAAATCATGTTCCTTAACAGTCGCCTAGGACAGTGGCCAGCATTCCGTTGGACGTTTGGCGGCCGGAGCTCACGTCTTTGACCTTCCGCATCGTGCCCAAGACCCAGGATTCCGCGATGCTGGGCGGCCTCGAGTTGACACGACTTCACTGGGTTCCGTGAAAGGCTACAGGGTTTTTTTTGGGAGTTCCATGGAAGCTGTAGGGGTTTTGGGAGTTCTTGCTGGAGCTCGCTCAGGGCATTCGGTCTATCTGTCTGTGTCTGTGTCTGTGTCTGTGTCTGTGTCTGTGTCTGTGTGTGGGTGTGTGTGTGTGGGTGTGTGTGTGTGTGTGTCTGCGTGTGTGTGTTTGCAAGTACATGGCCGCAACAACCCCAAGACAGGACGTCGCAACTGAGCGCGCGGGAAGATCATTCTCAACTTCCTGATGGATTGCAGTATGAAGATAAACCCGTTCCTTAGAATACCATACACCCCCCCATTATATTTGCATCGGGTGTTGCGGTGGACTTAGATGCCAAGGACTGCTAGCTGGCAACGTGATGACCGCAGAATTCAGATCTTGCTTAGAGGTGCTGTGCAGGCCACGGTGGGTTTTGAGGGGGTACGGGTTTAAGGGTCTCAAAGACGTGGAATTCCTGCTGCTTGGTTCGTTGCTGGACGGTTGGGTTCCTGTCCAGACAGCAACCCAATCTAGCTAGACCCTCCTGTTGCAGGAAGTTGTCATTCACAATTCAACAGGTTAGACAAAAGCGCAGTGGAACACAAGTCGTTGGCTACCTCGACTTGAGTTTGTCCCTAAATGTTTGGAGGCTGCAGAATGGGCGGTGCCTGATCTCAGCTCTAGAGACCCATGTCACCTTGGGACTTTCTCTGACTACCAAGAGCTGAAGTATGCCACCACCGCGCTTTGCAGCTACATTCGACACAACTGCTCGACATTGACCATAGAGGCTGAAGCTCAACCTGTAAAAATGATCGACTTTATGACTCACGCCTTAAGGGATAGACCCGCAGTTGTCGCTGGTTCGTGGAGCCGTTTATCCCAGTGGTTGGCCTGTGCCCACGAAGTTCCTAAACCTGCTTGGTGGGCAGCGGCCGACTTCTGGGAGCCGTGCCCCTCGAGGCCAGGGGGCGTAGATCGGATGTGTCCAACGGCGCTCCGTTATCGCGAATTATTTTACGGAGGATATTTCCGATTCCGGGTGAGGGACTTTGTCCTTCTCCTGTCTCGTGGGGTACTCGGAGCGTTTCAGATGCTAAACCAATCCTGCCATGCTTTGCTGCAACAAGGGCATTTCAGTCAAGAAGATCAGCTGCAACTCGCAGCTGCTGCCTTGAGCACGGAGAATGCATCCGTGGTGGGTGCATGCCTCACGCATTGCAGCAATCTTTCGCACTGGCACCCTCGTCTCCAGCAGCAGCTCGTCCAAAAGATGTGGAACACCAATTCAGCCGAAGCAATCATCGGAGCTTTACTTGGGTTTGCCGAAATGGGCAAAGAAATCGTTAACAACATCGTGGCTGATGCTTGCGCGGAATGTCTGGGAGTGCTCCGGGTTGCCTTACGCAGCCGTACTCGGCCATGGGTTCGTTGGGGGTCTGTTGCGACATTAGAGGCAGGGGCCAGGCGGACATCGGCTGAAATTGTGGCAGATGTCTTGAAGCTCCCATGGATTCTTTGGAATGTCAGTGCTCTACACCTACTACAGAGGCGGATGTACACAGCGGACTATGTTCGTATTCCCGAGCAAGTTTGCAACGGCTTGATGACATCTCTCACCTCCGCTGGACAGAACCTGGGTTCTTGTTAAGGGATTTAATTTAAGTTACCATAATAGTGATCTATAGTAAATAATATGGTTTCCCTATTATGGTAACTTAAAATTAAATCCCTTAACAAGAACCCAGGAACCTCACGGAGCTCGAAATCAGACTTTGGTCGTGGAGTTGGGCAGATTGCCGTCCTTTCGCCTTCGCCGAACTTGGGCCGATGCCCCGGCTGGAGAAGCTGAGATGGCTTGATAGGACAATTTCCGATGACCTGGCAGCTGCACTGATCATGAACCTGTCGGGACGCTTCCCCTCGCTGCAAGAGTTGGAGGTGACGTACACGATTACTAGCAGAGCTCAGGACACCCTGGCAGAAGGCGTGGCCCAAGCTCTCAACACATCATCACTCAGGGTCTTGCACCTCGGATGCAGCGGACCAGCTGCTGCAATGGCAGCGGCCGTAGGGCAGATTTCGCCGCAGCTGGAGGAGCTGAAGCTCGGCGGGAGCGATGGCGTGGGGGCCTTCATCGCAGCTTTTCCGCACCAGGGCACCTGCCGCTTGAAGAAGCTGGATGTTTTCGGGCTCGGGAAGGCAAGTTTTGATCTTGCCGTGGCTCTGGCAAAGGCCCTCAGGAGATGCCATGACCTTCAGGAGGTCAAATTGCCCCTTCCAACAAGCGCCAGCCGTGAGATCACAGACGCGATCAAGCAGATGAAAAGCGCCTATTGGCCAAAGCTCACCAGCTTCGAGCCCTTCATCCTCAGTTCCAACCTGCAGCGCTGGCTCGCAAGGCACCGTCCACAGGAATTGGATTCAGTGGGGAAGAAGTTGAGCAAGATTCAGGGACGGAAGTCAAGATACAGTGCTGAAGCTCCATGAGCTGCGGATGGGCCAATTGGAGAGCCGGTCTAAGGAGAGGTCTAAGGAGAGCCGACCCGCCGGGAGTGGGGAAAACGATTGAAAGGCGGCGACCAAAAGCTGCTCTGTGGTTTTTCAGTGCTGCACATGATTTGAGGCTTTCAGATGCTTGCAAGAACCGGGGACCTCCTTTTTTTTGGAACCGCAGCCACGTCCAAGTCGTTAGCTTTGCCCTTTTTTTGCCGACCGGAGCAGACATGGGCTGCTGCGCGGGTGCCGCGACGAACGCCGCCAGTGCAGCTGTGCAACTGCCTTCGAGCCTTGTTTCGCTGCCGGGACTGCATGGTTTAGGGCCCCTAAAGACACTAAACCCTAAACCCCTAAACCCTAAACCCTAAACCCTAAACCCACAAACCCGAAACCCCTAAACCCCAAACCCTGCCTAAAGGGTTCAAGAGCCCTTCCACAGGCAGCTGAGGATAAGGATCTTATCCTACCTGTGGAGTTTCCACGGACCCGTTGCGATTGACAGGTGAGTACACAGAGACAAGCCAAATCTCCTCGTAAACGAATTGCAAAACAGCCTGAAAGCACCCCATTCTGGCAAGCCCCAAGTAGACGAGCTGGCGTTTAGGGGTTTAGGGGTTTAGGGTTTGGGGTTTTACGGGTTTTTAAGTTTAGGGCTTCCTTGGTCGTGGTTCTGAACATAGAACTGTCAAGAACCGGGGCACAGCAATGCTGCCTAGCAAGCTTGCCGTGCCCGCAGACAAAGGAGGGACAGTGGGAGAAATGTATTGCGGTAGTCATACTTGAACGCCTGGTATCCCTAAGCC